AGGAGTTTATGACATCAGGTGCCTGAAACTGTTTTCATGTAGCTCATACCTAGCGAGACTATGCATGCATTTTTTTGCTTTCTCAGTCAAAGAAGTTTTCCTTAAAAGAAATTATTTTGACTTGGATTCCTCCCTAACAGTACTAGCGTAGTATGAAACCCAAAATTGCTGATGGCTAAAGCTTGACCAGCAAAAGAATTGCCTGCAAACAATCGTGCATACCAAAGATCATGGTTTCCTAAGGGCTGCATCTAGTTCTGCAGTTGAATTTCTCCCGGAGACAGTCTTGTACATGAAGTGGTGTGAGCAGCATGGGGTGCTGTGTGACTGGCAACTAGTAGTGATGCCACTGATTTTTCATTTGGGATGTGTTGGGGAAAAAACTCTTCCCTAGTAATTGGAGAATGTTTGCCATCTTTCAGCTGAAAGCATTCATCTTGTCTGTATGTCTTTTTTTTGTTCATTTGTTTTTAAGAAGAATGGAATTGTGGGGTTCTGTAGTCCATTTGTTCAAAAAATTGGTTCAGATCTTGAGCAGATAAGTATTGGAGGCAGCTGTGGGGTTTTCTCAGAGCTTTGTCTGGCAGAGTGCTCCGTGGCCTCTGCTCAGGGATGCCAACTGCTGCAGTGAGAGCCTGCAAGGAGTGGCAAGGTGCCAGCTCTCCTCTTTCTGGCTGTGGCAGCAGATGTTGAGCATATCTGGGTCCCTCAAATTTGTGTGCTTTTTACACAATATCGTTGAAATTTGTTCACTGCGCTTTTGTGATTTAGATATCCAGAATGAGTTTTTTAACAGAGCTTTTTACTTTTTGATGGACTCTAAGATAGTGATGAACCTACTTTGTCGGACCCCAAAATACTCGACAGACTATAATTTTCCTCTAGCAGGATGTTAGACCAACAGTTCAGAGATTTATTTCTCATAGAATAGATGTTACTTCTAGATATACATCCTTGCTATACGTTTTCACCTTCCTCCTCATTGCTTCCTTCCCCCTTCACAGATATAGGAAGCTCAAATATACATGTAGTACTTGAGCTTGCGTACTGCTGTTAGTGGTTGTCTCCTGAACCCCTGAAGTCTTACAAGCCTTGATTTTTTTCCTTCCAGAGACTGATGAAAGAGTCACTGAGATAACCTTGGATGTGGACATGGTTTCCTCTTCTAAGCCAGCCTCCTTCTACATACTGTTAGACTAATACTTTTGTGTCACACCTGCAGTGAGGCCAACAGGAGGAAATGAACTATTCTAAATGAGTTGGAGTTTTTAGAAATGAAAGTTTTGGTCTACTAGAACAAAAAAAAGATGGCTAGGTCTTGGGAGAAATCTCTTTTTCTAGAGAGTTTTATATAAACCTACCAATTATATGAGCTTCAGGTATTCTATCTGAGGAAAAACTGTGTCAGGGCAATCTAGCTTGTATTAAGAGAAAAATCTTGTCTCTGTTCACTGTGAACAGAGGTTGAGATGGCTCTTGAAGTATTTTGAATGAGCTCTTGTCTTTTCGAGCACTGCTTGAATATTGGGTTCAATGGCAGTGGAAAAAGCTGTCTGAAACAAGATGATGCTGTGCTCTTTTGTGGTTTTTCAGTACTGCAACTGAAGGAAGAGGGTATTGATGTATATGTAACTGCACTACAACAATATTGTAGATGAGGGGCTTTGGGGGCTTAGAGATTATGAGCAGAAGACAGATAGTTAAGAGTGGAGTTGATAAACCCATAGACATTAAATAATGAAAGAATACTGAATGATGTGCAGTAATAGAAATCACTGCTACAATTACAAAACTTCGCATTACAAATGGAGAGACAAATTCAGAATTAAATGTATTTTCAATGAGTTAAATTTCTTGAAAACTCGTAGAGCTTTCTGTGTACAGCTGAGAATCTGAAAGGGTATTTATACCTAAAGAGCAATAAAATAAATAAACCAAAGTTTTGACCAAAAGATCTGTGAGAAAGGAAGCTAGTGAGGTGGCTGAAGAACGACTTGGTTTTGCCAAAAGCAAACCAGAGCATATAATGAAACATATGAAACAACTCTTGAAGAATTGCAAACTCTTAACTGGGAGGGTTGATAATAACTATACTTTTCATCTCTATGATGTATATCATGCATAAAGGAGTGAATAAATCAAAACTAATTAGGCAGAGGTTAATATTTGTGGTTGTGGTCTCTTGCCCTTATGCTGCTTTTAGACTGTCATACTGTTGTTCTTATTTAAAAATCTATTCGTAATAGAAGCTACAGAATAAAAATTTCCACATCGTTTATAATAGTTTGGATGCTAGATGATGGAAGTCTGTCCCATCCAGGTGTGCACAAAATAGGCCTCTCTGGAAGGGAAAGGAGTGTGTAGATCAAGCTGGACCTAGAGCCCTCTCTGCTGGATGGCTGGGAAACAACACTTCAAACACGAAAAATAAGAATTTTTATGTAGAAAAGAAAATCTGAGGTAGTGCAAGAAATCTGGACATAAACGATAAATCCTACAGAGTTGAAGTCTTCCCTATGATAAGCAGATGGAATAAGATACACTTATGTCACAAACACACTTATGAAGTGGCCTTCTCTTATTAAATGATCAGGTGATATATTTTAATGATAATTCTTCTAAGCAAATATGGGATGTGAGGGGAGAAGAAAAGATTTAACGTTTCACCTTAGAAACTTGAGAAATTCATAATATCTGTGCCAAAGAGGAATATTCAAGTAAAGGATTTTCTAACCATATAAATCCTAGGGAGTGTAGGTGGGTGCTGTGTTTTTGTAGTAATGAACCAAAGAAATTAACACCTACTATAAAGCTGCTGTAATACATGGAAAATACACCATTCCAAGATTAAGTACTTTTTAAAAAAGGCATTTGGCAATATGTAACACGTGTTTGTTTTAAAATAAAATATATTTTCCAGTAAGAGGGGAAACCCTATTATAGTAATTAAAGCCCATATTTTATTCCTAAAGTAAAGCCAAACACCGACATTCAGAATTTTTTTTCATTCCATTTGACTAATGGAAACAGGGGAAAGGAGAATTGCAGAGAATAACTGGATTGTCACCTTACTACCTTACTGCCAGATCCATTGAAACTATGCAGATCCCTGAAGTCCAGTCACTTGGAACTGATTCTGAAGTGTGCATGAGCACACGTGGGTTTTTAAGCCCCAAAAAGTCTAGTGGAGATCAGAGGGATCAACATTGAATAAACCTGTGAGAAGTGTTGACTCTCCCTTTTTTCACTGTTTTTCCAGGTAAGAAAGACATTAATGACATATCTGGTCACAGAAGGTTCATTAGGGGAAAAAAATGCAGCCTTTGGAAACCTCTGAAATCTCACATGCATGGAGAAGTACAAAACAGTTACTGACCTTTATTAAACTTGATTTCCCTTCACTTCCTGTCTAGGGAAGGTGAAGCACATTTTGGAAATGTTTGATGTTCGGTAAAGTGTTCTTTGTAAGATATTTCTTTTTTTTGAGTCATCATTTCACTTAAGGTAACAACTTGATTAATGACATTATAGAGCAGATAGTGTGATGGGATTGCTTTAGGGCTTTTTTTCAAGTCACGGTGACATAACCACTTCAAAATTTAGATTAGAAATGGTGTAAGAAATGTAGACTAGTAAGATAATGTATTTTTGCTCTGTAAGAATAAGCCCTATCAGTTGACTATTTCTGAGAAAAAACCCAGCAAAAACAGAAACAAAAAAGAACCTGTCTAGATAACCAAATTAACTGTCATGAATTTATCACATTGTATCACTCACCAAGTGTTTTGTAAAAGACAGTAAGGACATTGTGTAAAGGACTGAATTTGTTCTCTTGAAAAGACAATAGTAGTAAAAATGTAGACTGAAGGAAGGCTTTTGTATTTACGCTCTTGTTTTCCCTGTCTTTTCCTGTCATTTGTTGACCCAGCTAATTCTAATGGTCTAAACGAAGACATTTTAAAAGTCTGCTTATAGAAGTGGTAGTAAAAGTACCTCAGTAGTACTTATTTTCCACAGGAGAATTAATATAGAAACACTATGTTGCTGTTTTTCCTCTTTAATGGATCTCAAGGTGTTTTTTCAACTATTTTTTTTTATAAGAAACAGTATTTTGTATGTAGTTGTATCATAGATGTTGAATATAAGGCAGCTGTCTAATAGCTTCTTTCTATGTGTATACACACACACACATCTTCTTGGTAGAGTATGCTACCTCAACTCTATTACATGAGCTTTAGAATGTGTTTAAGCTACATGACATGCATATTGCAAAGATACAGACAGCTGTAGTGTTAACCTAAGAGAGGCCTCAAAGACACGTGCTGATCAGCCAGTGTTGGCTCTGGAGCAGAAGCAGTGCAGGTGGAATGGTGCATTTGGCTATGCAGCCAGGGGCTATAGTGTGAATCAAATGCAGACATTTCCTAGCTCGTATATAGAAGAAACTCCTCTGACTGTTCTTATCCCCTAAAGCTGTCAAAGGTCTGGTCTTGTCTGTCAGTCCTGCCTGGCTGTAGTTACCGCAGCTGAGTAAAACTTCAGCAGCCAGAGCACTCGATGCTGGTGTGGTAAACGCACAGATATGTTTCTGCTGGAAAGGCACCATCTTTCTGACAGGAGCTTGGGTATTTCTGAAGATGTTTTAGACAGACAGACCTCATTAAAAGCAGAAAATGAGTGGGGTGAATATATGACTGCTTTGTTCTTTAGTTGTAACTTAGCAGTTTTGCAGGTGATACTCTTGAGGTGTCAGGAGACATTAACTTGTTCTGTCCTGAGGTGGAGTTATTGTATCTGTACAGATATCTGGCCTGTCTTCTTATGGCTCAATAAAACCTTTTCCCAAAATAATTGCACAGTTCTAAGTTCTGTTTAATTTTACATAGATTTTATGGTGTTGACTTTACCTGGGCTATGATTTGCAGCAAAAGTTTTCTCAAATAAATTATCTATTGTGTATATATCTATACATAGTTTTTATTTTTATTTTTGTTTTTTCAGGGCATGGCTTTTACCTTGGAGGAGAGGCAACAATTAAATATTCATGGATTATTGCCACCTTGCTTTCTTGGTCAAGATGCTCAGGTTTATACAATTCTTAAGAATTTTGAAAGGCTGACATGTGACCTAGACAGGTAAAGTATGGCTATGAAACTTTATCCTACTTACCAATTCATGAGTCACTTACTTTTTTTTTATGGTAGTACAGATGAAATTTTGGGGTATTTTTTCAGGCTGTGGTTGCTGATTATTGGGAATTGTTAAAGTAAATACTTATTTTTGCTGGAAGCTTTCTTCAAAAATCAACTCCTACTTTAAAATTGTAATCTTCCAGAGCTGTTCACATGAATTTTCTTTGATAAACAAATGATACAAAGGTCACCGGAAGCAAGTGAACTCATGTGAAACTGAAAGTCAGTAATGACTCTACGTGCATATAGATACATATGCATTAAAGTATAGTAAATTTGTAAAATGTTATAAAACTAATATGTAACATAGTATTTCTGTGCTTTGGTATTTTTAAGCGAAAAATCTGAGAAGGGCTTTGAATATTTATGAACGCTAAAATTTTTTCCTAAAAGAATTGTATTTTATAGACTCTAGAATAAAACAGTGTTTCTTCATTTTTTTTCCTCCTGTGCCTTGCTCTCCTCTGTCATAGGGTGTCTTTCTGTCAGTGAGTGATATATGTCCTCTAGGTATCTATCTGTTGGTGGCAAGGCTTTTTTATAATTTAAAGTTGCCACAATCTTTGTTTCTCATGGAGTTGGAATAGGATGAGGACAGCCTTCCTTGCAAGTGGAGAGCTTGCAATTGTGGTATCTTTTGTAGGGTAACTATTCTCCAGTGCTCTCAGGAAGGCCATTATCTGTTGTCACACAGTAGTAGTTTCCCAGGCCAGAATGTTTTTTTAGTGTTTTTAAACTAGGAAAAAAATTCACTCCTACTTCAGGTCATAGCAGAAAAACACTCCTGCTTCTCAAAACATCACAGATAGAATGTCACATGTCTAGCTATTCAATAGTCAAAAGGAGATTAACAGTATTTGCAAATCCTAATTCTTTATTTGTTTAGCAAAAAAATTGTAGATATTCAAATGGCTTTTTGCCAAAATGAAAAATTTCTTTAGGAAAGTAAGAATGAATTAATCTATCAGTTTTAAATGACAGAATATTAAAACTTTGAATGACATGCCTTTTGAACTGCAATAAAACAGTGAATGCTGAAGTTTTGATTGCAGTGGGAATAATGAAATAAAAATAACTGTCTCTAAGTATTGTGGAAATACTTTGCAGCTATCTTTATTATGTCAAAAAAAAGTAAAGAGAAATCTGTCTGACTTGGGGGTGGGGAAGGAAATTTTTTTTAAAGTATAACTAATCCATGTATGATAGACACAAATAATACAGAAGTATAAAAAATATAATATAGTTACAAGTAAATGTAAACAAAAGGTTTTCCAGAAGTAATTTGCATCAGAGAATATTTTTCCAAAACTACGGCTGTTACCCTTAAGATCTGTAAAAATTAAATAAAAACTTAGTGTCATTCTTTCCCACCAATGAGTCTTCTTTGGCATTTTCTCTTTTCCAAATTTATAGTTGAGTAAGGAAGAAATTTGTTTCCTGCTCCTGTGACCAGACATCTGTTAAACAGAAGTGCTAACATTGAATTATTCCATCCATGTGTCTTGAGCATTAGAGTGTAGCTTGCCATTTTATACTATAAAGCCAGTTTTTGTTATAATGCCTGCTTTAGTATAAAGGTTATATTGTCTTATTCAGCTTTGCAGTACAAATTTATTCTTGATAATTTGGTTTTAGTGATGCAGTGCAACTGAGAAAACTAGCAGATCTTCTATTCACAGAAGTAGCTGGAAACTATTACAAGCTAGGCTTTTTTTTCTCACTAATGTGTCCACTACTCAGAATACTTCAAATAAGATTTTAGTAATTAACGTGAAAAAGAAATTAATAGCTGTGTTTATTTCTCAGTTTTATTCTGTGACATGTGTCTGTGCTGTTTTCTCAGCTGTAATTTTGGGTCCATGTATTTGAATCTTCTCCTTCCCTTTAGAGTGTGAATAAAACTGGTGGCCCCATTTGTAATGCTGGAGAAGGTGTGGTGGGATCTCCATCCATAGGAGATACTCAAAATCTGACTGAACATGGTCCTGGGCAAACTGCTCTAGCTGCCTCTGCTCTGAGCAGGGGATCAGATGAGGCAACCTCCAGAGGTCCTTTCCAACCTGAGCTAGTGTATGCTTTCATAACATAAGTCCGTAGCATTTAAGAAACAAGTTTTCAGGGATAATCTCGGATCAATGCAAATTGTGTAAATTAAGTTGGGTTTTCCCTTAAGAATATTAAATTATATAAATCCACAAGTACCCCCCAAATAGAATTTTTTCTTTAAGAAATCATATTTATACTCTGTCTTAATATCTAGCAGATATAAATTGACTATTCATGCCAGGCTGTGTTTTGATTAAAAAAAAAATTCCTCATATATTAATTGGGGCTTTTTATAGCTCTGATATTTTCTCTATTTTGTAGCAAAATAAAACTGTGTTATATGCATAGGTCTACATTTAAGACCACTGATAGAAAGACATGGTAACATTTGCATGAAGAAGGTACTTCATTTTAAGACTATAAACATTGCCATCTTGGGCTCCTTTGCACTTAAAGTTCTGTGAATTGAATGTGCAAAAATTTGCACGTGCAAAATGTGATTTGCACGTGTGTTTATAAGTCAAGTGTCTGACAATTTCATTGGAGTATGTCCATAAAGAGCCTGCTTGGAGAACATGTGCATTACATGTGGTGAGCTTAGTCCTCAAGACAATTTGTGGACTCTGGTCTCCTATATTTATACTTGTATCAAAGACTTTTAAAGAACAGTAAATGTGATCCTGCCACAATTACTCCTTGAATCTCTTCACTGATGAAGAATGTTAGAAGGTTTGGGTGTTTTAACTGGAACTTGAAATCTCAAGTGCTCCCTGCACAGGCACGTGCTCAAGGATAGTCTTGCATAAGAGCATGAAGTTATTGTCTTCTACTGAGTGTAAATGTCCTAATTCCAGGAAAACCCCCATGTTTCTTCCAGTATGCATCTGGCATACTCTTTGCTCCCATAGAAACAGTGATTGAAAAGAGATGAAGAGAGGCTGTTTTTTTCCTTCTAGAGCTTGGCAGTAGGTGTACACTTGTGTGTTTTATGTCCAAATACAAAAGATTAAGCCACAGGCATTTAGATATTGCAGAAGTAGAAGGTGTTAGACGCCTTAGACAGAAGGGTATCATCTGATGAAACATAAATGCTGTGCATGACAGCATCTTACATTGGCAGGATTGGCCTGGTATTGCTTGGAAAGAGGGTGTGTGTAAATTCATAAAGCTAAGTTGATAGCTAGTACCATGGCATGACACGGTTTGGCACTGCTGAAACGCCTTTGTGAACTTGTAGCGTGGAATTGTTGTACTCTGAAACACCAAGAGTTCATACACAAAATGAATGTGGAACAACAGCAAATCAGTTGCCTGGTATGTTTGGCAAAAGGGACACCAATAAGAGGAAAAATTTCTATTCCTCTAACTTAATTTGGAAAAGCTGTGATGGATTCTGCAAGTAATTTAATTTTTTTTCTCCCCTGTGTGTTCCTAATTGTCTTTTTTCTTGCTCTGTATTGATACTGAAATTGTTGCTTCTGGCACGGTGACATCTTCTGCCTGAGCTTTTCTTTCTTCAAAGAGTCACACTGTAAAATGTTGTATTGGATATGCTAACTTAGGAGAGGGGCCATAAATTGCTTTTCCAGAGAAGGCCATCTTATTTTGTTTTTGTCTTGAAGTTCCCTGTCGTTGATGAATTTTTATATAGATACTGATGATGCAGAGTAATAGAGCTAAGTGTCTTACACACATGAAAAATAGTCTTTCCTCCTCCCTTCTCTATTTACTCTCATATTTTTCAAGATAAGAGCAAAAAAATGTGGAGTTTGTTCTGTTTTCACCTTTTCCTTTTGCTGTAAACTGTATGCCAGTGATAGTTGGGCCAATTATCCTAAGAAATCATCAGTAACTTTCCAGTAGTTATATCAGTTTTCATTTGTGTTTTGGATGATACATGGTTTATATCCTTTTGTTGTGACTGTGTTTCGTTCCGTTCATAATAGCAGGCTAGTCTGAAGCATTCTTAGGTGAAGGAAAGGCAAGGGGGAAGAGTGACACACTGAAATTTGAATGCTTGGCAGCCTCCTCTGTCTGACTTGCCAGACCTTGGTTTTTGTCCTCTGAAACTCTTCCCTGAAATCTTCATTCAGGACTCCTTGTCTGAGGACAGATAATATTTTTCTCCCTTTTTATAGCACAAATGATTGTTTTCACTGTTTTATTGCTTGTTTTCATTATGTTTTCAATTAAATGTGGGCTTCAGTATAAGATTCCATTAAATACTGAATTTTAAGGATATTTTTTAAGCACAATGCTGCAAAGCACTTCATGCTTTTAGTTGTATAGACACTTGGATGTTGCTAAAACATGCATACTTGTTGTCTAATGCATTATAAACAACCCCACATTGAGTATGAAGCATTTTTGGTTTTCCCTTTAGAAAGAATTTTTGGGAAATCTGATACCCTTAACTAAACAAATTAAAATGCTGAGAAAGAAGATATATACCTGCCATTGAAAAAGTAACCTTCTGATAAAAATTACACTTCTCTAGAAATATTTTTAACTTTATAATCTTTTTTTTATACTGATGTGGATATGATCAAGTATGTAATATTTGAAAATATAAGTAGTATGCAGTTACTCCTTTTGCAAGTTCTTTAGTACATCATGAATATAAAAGTGGCATGATAAATATATATATATAAGAAAATAAAGCCCCAGCTTAATGCTATAGGACAGTAAAAACAAAGTGGAGAGTTTTAACAAACAGGTTTTTCATTTGAAGCCCCTGAGGAAGCCTTTTGCTAAGCTTTTAGTTTCTTTTGTAAAAGACTTCTTCACCCCGTGAAAATCTAGGCTTGATCTGAGTAATAAGAAAGGATGATGAAAAGGTATTTTTTACTCTTAAATAGCCACACCTCATTTTAAAGGAAAGTTATTAAAAAAAAAAGAAGAAGAAATATCAGCAACTGCTTTGGAATGGTGCTGTGGCTCACATGGTGCTTGCAGTGTCTAGTATAGACTGGGGGCCACAAATATGCATGACATTCTCTGACATCACTTTAAATGTTCTCTGGAAACAAAAGGAATGTCTTCATGTGTATCCAAAACTACATTACAAGACCTTGTATTTCAAGATAAATGTTGGGATAGTCATCCTCAGGAGAAAGGTTTTTGTAAAGAAAATGCTCTGAGAATTCAAGGACATTGAATATATCTCCTATATCATAATGAAATACTGGGAAAATGAAAGGCTATAGGGAAATGTAATAATATGAAAGAAAATTAGTATGTATGGATGTATATTTGTCGCTGAGAGCTACAAGAGCAGGATATAATTTAACCTTGGAGAACATTCAAAACTAATGTGTATGATGGAAGGTGGTTCTGATTGCCTCATTGTGATGGTATTTAGAGAACAACTGCAACTTTTTGGTTTCTAGATTTCTATCTGTTTAGGGTCTAAAATATCCTTCATGACACAAAGGGCAGGGATATTGTTTTGCCTCACTTCTGTCACCTCATTACAGTCACCAACTGCCAAACCGGCTCTGCTTGCCTTGCTTATACTGCTCATTAAAGGTTTACATAACAGATCCCAAAAGAAATGCTTCCCTGATATACAGGGATAGGCGAGCTAAGCTTGAATGGAATGCATTCAGCTTTACTAAGCTGTTCTCTGTCAGATGGTTACCTGACTATATGATATAGATTTTATTGGGGCATTTGATGCCTAAGTATGCAGAAGAAAAGTTTATATGAATAATATTTAAGTACACAAATATCTAGGTTTTTGGAATGAATATATTCTATATATATCCTCAACACTTGTGTAATAAAATGATGGGCATATTAAACTTTCTGAGTGTAAGTAATTAGTAATCCATTTCAAATTAAAAAAAATACCTACATAAATTGTATACATAAGTTAAAGATTTTGTGTAAGCCTATAGCTTTAGAAGACTACTTAATTTTTACAGCAATACTTAACATTGCTAAAACTAGTGAATAGACAGGTAAGATTTAAGATCACTAAATTCTTAAATTGTAAGTGTTCACGAAGTGACAGTCATACCTATTTGAACTGGTATAACTTGAAGTCACTCATAGACTCCTGTCATTTCTCACACTCAGCACTGCAATTTGGCTTCCTGATTGGTATCTTGAAACAGTAATGTAATTATTCAATGTAAGTGTGATGGTAGTCAAAAGTAGATCAAGCTAAACATGAACTTTTTTTCACTCTCATTTATATGATTATTTTTTTCTCATTGGTTTTCTTTTAAAATATATATAGAACTTCCTCAAAATCGGTTTTAGTTACGAGGTATAACATTGCAGATTTCATGTCGAACATGGACTTAAGGGATGAAGGGCCATGTGTGTATGCTTTGTTTTCAAAAGCTTTGTTTTCCAGTATTTATTTGAAGTATTAGCCTGGATTTAAGATAAATTTCTATTGAGGAAAGAGCATGCAAAGCTTAATGTTTTTAGTTCTGTTTACTTTGGGCAAGTGAGCAAGCTTGTTTAAGTTATATTTAAGGCTGGCCTCATTTCAGTGGAACAACTGATATACGCAGATAAGGTTCTGAGAGACCAAATCCTCAATTGCAGCACAGTGTTTTATACCTGAGAGGGATTAGCTTCCTGAGCAGGTAGTTTGACAGCTTTGTGATGGCTTCAGGTTCTCTGTCTCAATGAGTTTGTTTTGCTTTGTATCCGAACCATTTGTGCTGTTAAGACTAGGAGGAATTTAGATACTTTCAATAAGAGAGAGGCTATTATAGAACAAACATAATTTTAATTATCCAAATGCTATTATATTTCTAAATCTACTTTATATCTACTATATGTTCCCTTGATGTCTGTGTAATTATATGTAATTCTCCACAGATACATGCTGCTAATGAGTCTTCAGGATCGGAATGAAAAGCTTTTCTATAAAGTGCTGGCTTCTGACATTGAAAAGTTCATGCCTATTGTTTATACCCCCACTGTGGGACTGGCTTGCCAACAATATGGCTTAGCATTCCGGAGGCCAAGGTATGTAAGTTTGTACTTCAAATAAAAGTAATTGTATCTTATTTTCCTCTTGACAGATTTCTGTAGGGGTTTTCTAGCAGCTGCATGTAAGCCAAAACTGCAATAATTGAGATAATTCAAGCTACGATTTTGCTCTACATTAAACAATAATATGTGCATGTCCTATCAGCATTAAGAAGGCAAATGGTTATTTTTCATTAAAACATGAATATATTTTTAATCTTATTAACTGATTATAATTATCGAACTGTATAGTATATGCACTGTATTATACTGTATAGTATGACTATTATAGTGTTTTAGAACCCTAGCTGCATATTAGAAGACTGGAGAAGAATGGAACCTTCGTTTTGGGGTTTTAGATTTGTCTTAGAAACTTGAAAAGCATAGACTTTTACTTATATAAATATTTTTGCTATTGGTATTTTATACATACACAAAAGCACACACACACATATATATGTAAAAAGTAAGGATGCATTACCTACATATCTATTGATATCTTAAAAATTATCAAAAATCATCAAAGTGCCTATTTCACTGCTTAATAATTTCTTGCTTTATAGGTTGGTTACTGGAGTGCTTTTATTCTGTACAATATCTGTATTTATAGAATGATGAGGAAGTGGCATGACACAAAGTTTGAGATTTATGGTGGTTGCTGTTTGAGAACATTGTGTATATCACTGCCTTCACGTGCAAACTGGAACAGCACTTGGGAGACTTCTGCAGAATTTTCTGGCAAAGAAAGAGATAAATGAGCTGCATATGCGTAGCTCTGTTAACAGAGAAATAAGTTTTTTACAGTGAAGGCATTGATCAAAAGTAAGAAGCTTACAAGATGCAAGGGAACAAATGGCTGCTTACAAATTCTTCAGCAGGAGATATTTGAGAGAGATCATAGTTTCAAGGTTTTGTTCTTAATGTGAAAATCATTTTGGCCTTGTGACTGACAGAATGAGTCAGGACCATCTGGTCAACTGCAGAAAACAAGAATTCCCACTTCTGTGCACATGAAAAAGTCAAAAATACCTCAAGAAACCTTATTTAAACCTATTTCATGATCTGTGGCTTTTAGGTGCCTCACTTAGTAATTGAAGTAATCTCCTTTTTCTGCCTCAGCATTTACCACCGTGGTGATTTTATTCGCCTTCCAGGAAGTGCTAAATGTGTCTGGAAATTAAGTCTTTGCTTACACTGGTCTCACTACCCCTCATTTTGATATTCATTGCCATATAAAATATTTCACAAGGAGCACCTCTGCCCATGCACATACTTTCCCCTTTCTCCCTAGACGAGTGAAGCATCTGTGGAGAAAAACACCCAGTTTAATTAGAGTCATGGAATTGTAAAGTTTTCAAAAGACCTCCAAGGTCATTGAGTCCAACTTTTGACTGAACACCACCATGCCAACTAAACCATAGCACTAAGTGCCATGCCCAATAATTTCTTGAACACTTCCAGGGATGGCAACTCCACCCATTCCCTGGACAGCCCGTTCCAGTGCTTCACCACCCTTTCAGTGAAGAAGTTCTTCCTGGTGTCCAACCTGAAACTCCCTGGCACAACCTGAGACTATTTCCTCTTATCCTGTCATTGGTTGCCTGCTAGAAGAGGCCAACCCCTGCCTGGCTACAGCCTCCTTTCAGGCAGTTGTAGAGAGTGATAAGGTCACCCTGAGCCTCCTCAGGGCTCAACAACCCCAGTTCCCTCTGCCACTCCTCTCACTTGTGGAGCCACTTGTGCTCCAGACCCTTCATCAGCTCTTTTGCCCTTCTCTGGACATACTCCAGCACCTCAATGTCTCTTTTGCAGCAGGGTTGGAACTAGATGATCTTTAAGGTCCCTTACAATCCAAACCATTCTGTGGGTCTATGATCTTTTACAGACTCTTTCCTGCTTAAGAAAACTGTGTGCAGTGTAATCTTCCACTGTGCCGTTACAGAGATATGTTTTTTTCCCTAAGAAGAACCTTTTCTAAATTATTCCAAAACCAACTCTGCAAAGCAACCAATATAATTTAGGTTGAAATTGCATTCTAGACCATGACTCATTTAGCATTAAGCCTTACATACCAGCATACCTCATAAACATCCTCCATGAGATGGATGGAGAAGAAAATTTAAATTTAATTAAATTTAATATTCAGAAAGCAAAAAGGAATAAAAGATCTAAGATTTAGTCCAGGCTATATCATCTTACAGTTTTGATTGATATTTTTTTCCCAAGAAGTTGCAATCAAAGAAAATTGTATAATCTGATCATACCTTAAAAAAAAGGTATTCTCATCTCTAAGAACTGTCTGTATCTGCTTTATGCTGACTCATATGTAAGTGCTGTCTTTACAGATAAGTGACTATTTTTCTTTCACAATGTTTTTTTTATTTCAGAATATTTTTAATACTGCCTCTTCTCACAGCTCAGAAAATGTTTGATTTTTCATAGATCCCATTAGAAACAGCCTTGGAAGTAAATAAATTAAAGATTACTCAGTTGCTGCAGATCATATTTATCTCACTGCAGTTTGCAAGGCATATTTAGTTTATGTCTGTAAGGATTTTTTCCAATATTCAATATTCAGTTATACTTCTTTATGTTGTGAAATGGGTTTGAAGCACCTGGCTCACGAGTTATCTCTTGAGGCAAGGAACAACAAAATTAATTTAGAGTTCAAAAAGTAGGTGTCTTGAGGAATCATTAAATGAGATCATCTGCTGTGACTCCCTTAAGTGTTTTTAGAAGACTTTTTGGGCTCACATGATGTGCTTACAGTCGCAGAAGGACTCTGTGGCTCAGGAAAAGGTTTTCATCCTGAAGCAATAGTTTGCAATTTTAGAATAAACATTCAAGACTGACCAGCTAACCATCTGATTAAGCATCATTTCTTAAGGGAACCAGCTGCAAAGTAGCTTGACTCATTGGTTTGAAGTTCATCTGTATAACTGACATTTATTTGTAATTCAGACCCATGATTGTGTTACTTGCCCTGAATATTCAGCTTTAAATCCACCAGTTTAATGAAAAAGAGTATTATTGGAGAAGTAAACAATACAGATCTGATAGCAGATCTGTAACATGCACCTACCTACACCACATTGTTACATAAGTATAATTATAGAAGACCAGTCTGTCTGGTTGTTGTCCTACCTGTTGAGGATGAGGGAAGAAAGGATCCTTCAGGGAGTTGGTCAGAGAAGGAATTCAAACCTATACAGATAGAAGCTTTACTTGTGCTGGGAATATAATGGGGTTCTGCTTCTATTGTAATGCCCATGCTATCATTAAAAGCATTATCTTAGAATCTCTACTAGGTCACTTCTTGCTTCAGAGTTTCTATACATCATTTAAATTCTTAAAGTAAAAATTTCTTCAGTTGCACAAGGCATGTACATACATATGACAACTTTTGATTACTTACCAAGGAAGAATCTATTTCTGTAAATAGATTTCTGAAATACAACAGTTCTTTCATCCAACAAGAATAAATATGGGAAAGCTCAATGGAAATTTCCTCTAAGAATCCAAAATCAACTTTTTACATTGTATAGAGAACACCCAGGAGTTTAAGATTCTTGTGTAAACTCAGCATTCAGAGAAGGGAGGTACAACTGCCAAGTACTGCTATGCTGAAGACTTTGGACGTTGTTAAACTGTTAGGTGACTGTTTATATATTGCCATTCCTAGAAGGAAAAGCCATTTCAATCAGAATATGATCAGAGCAAGCCCAGATAACTGATGCAGCTACACAGGCACGGCACAGTTCTCTGAAATAACTTCCCAGTGCAGTCACAGACTGTCAGGCTGACTAGGAACCATTTTTAAAGCAGCTCTATTAGGTCTGATGCAGTCTTAAAAGGCAAAGTATGTTACCTTTGAAATTGTTTACCAGATTTCCTCCTCACTGAAATGCATGACTGACTCAGTACATACAAATTTGAGATATAGTCCTTTCCTTTCCTTATATTTCTCAAAAAGAATGTATTTACTTACATTTATTTTATGTATTTACATTTGCAATGATTCAGATGCATGATATTGAATGCAAATGTTACAAATGTGAGTTCTTTTTTTGTTGATAAATATTTACATGTTGAGATTGCCAGCTGCAAGATAGCATCACTTTTTAATAAAGAAAAGAAATAGAGAATGGGGAAATATTTATTTCCTGTGACAGAACATGCAGAATGTTAGACCTTGGCATCAGAAGTTGCAGTCTGCTTGCCAGCACAAGGTTGATCCTGTGGTATATTTAATATTCTTTTTGTGGTTTTTAATGAGGCTTTTATTGGAATTATTTTTTTTAATTTCAATGCCTGTCTGTGGCATCCAAGTCTCTTCAGAAACCAGATTTAGCTTACTGGAGGCCAGAAACTTGTCAACTACTCCATGATAACATGAGCCAAGAAAGTTCAGTTCCTGGAAGTTTTTTGAGACCCTGTCTCTCCTTCAGATATGTGGTGTTTTCTTGATTGAGACCACTAGAATGTCTATATTTATTTCACATAACTTTTTCACCAGTATAATGGCTCCCTTGGATTTTTTTCAGCACATTTAGATATTTTTCCTCCTCTAAAAAGCATATATATGTATACATATTAGGGACTTTATTCATCTAATTGTTGCTATACATAATTATCTTAGTAGCTTCATTTAGTTAGAAGTGATTATTGTATAACATAAAACTATGTTAAAAGATGTAACAAAGCACTAGTTTCACAGTTATTTTTCCTAGTATTTTCTTCTCTGAAAACTATTTTAATCTTTAAGTGGAAAAAAGGAAATGTGGAGGCTTTTTAACTGATCTCTTGTAAGGTCTTGACTGTTAGGACAGCGTATGATATCAAAATCTTTTGCAATAAAGACATCAAGAACAGCAAAATGCTTGTCAAAATGTCTATAAAAACAGACTGTTGGAATTCTGTTCTGCAGAAGGACCTAGTGTGTGTATTGACAATATGGTTTGGGTGGCAAGTTATTTTGTAACAGTTCAACAGAGAAT